TACTACTGCTACTACTGCTACTACTCGTACTACTCCTTCTACTACTGCCTCTGCTACTACTGCTGCTCTAGGAAGTATCTTGAAGGGTCCTGCATTAGGCTTGGACTCCAGGATCCGACATCGCATGCGGACTTCTGCAGCTAAGACAACGTCAAGAGGAAGAGGGCTCTGATGTGGGACGAAGTACCAGGGTTTGGGGTTTAGGGTTTCAGGGTTTAGGGTTTTAGGGTTTCAAGGTTTGGGGAAGTAATGTAGGGGCCTTAATTATTAGAATAGGGTTTTTGGGGGTTCCTATTATAATTTTTGTTTTTTATATACTATACCCCCAAATCCTATTTTAATTATCAAGGCCCCTACATTATCAGGGTTAGGGTTTAGGGTCGGCAGTCCTGCAGCTGTCTGCTTCAAGGACGTATGCAGGTAGTTCCCTAAATTACCGTCCCTGTTTTGGTCCCCAAAAGTAGCTACGTAGGGCGCCCTTATAGACAGGATTCAAGGATTCCTAGGGGCCCTAGTTTAGAGAACTACCCAAGCAGGGCCCGAAACCCTAAACCCTAAACCCTAAAACCTGGGTTGTAGCTTAGAAGCTCTTGTAGGTCTCAGCCCCGAAGCCACAGTTCACCATGCACTTCGCTCCGGCATTTTCAGCGAAGGGACAGAAACTTTGCCTGTGAGCAGTTTCGAAGTCTCGCAATTTCGAGTTGTTGCGCTGCCCCGACTTGGCCTCGCATTTGCTGTTGTTGCCCTGTGTGTCAGGATGTTTTTTTGGGTGCTCTCGGCCGGGAATAGATGGGAATCCGACGTTCACGTTTAGTTTGGAGGCACGACGTACGCAATATCTGACAATTTCATGACGACGATGACGGGGCGCTCTAAAATCAGGCAAATTAGAAACTTTAAACAACTAAAAAAAACAGCAATTGTTTTTGGACTTTTTTTTGTGGAAAAAGGAAAAATGCACAGACGCGCTGCATAATTGTCGATCAAGCTGACACCGCTGCCAAGCACATCTAACCTTATGGGCAAATCCACCATTTGACACTCGCTCTAGTGAGCACGCGAGCCGCGCAGTGCTTTTGAACAATACCAACCGTTTGTCACGCAATCAATCTGTTTTTGTATCAGGAGTATTTCAACAGTTTCCAGCAAAATACTGCTTGCAGAACTTCTTGAATCACGAGTATCAAAAACAAGTAAAATTTCATCAAAAAGCGTCATATTTGATGGCCAACGTCGATTAGTGTTCTTGACACGATCGAAACAGATTATGTTCAACGGGCACGTTGGCGATTCCAGCGGTTGAGCCGCTGCGCGCTTGGGTATGTTGTTTGACCTACTGGCACGGGGGAGAGGGGGCGCGGGGGGTATCCACCCTACCCTAACCTACCCGGGGTATCCACCCGCTTTCATGAGTTTCCACCACAGTCCGGTGTGCCAGACGGAAAGTGAATCTGAACTCGATTCTACAAATATGGATGAAGAGAAAATGAATGAAGAATTGTCTTGACTGTCACCCTAATTAAACATGAAACCCGGTAGCAAAAAGCAATAGCAGTAATATTGATAGTATTCGTAGTTGTACTAGCAATAATAATCAGAATAACGGTACGAATAATACTAGTAGTAATAATAATGATGATAGTGACAAAAAATAATAACAGCGCAAGCCGTAAACCCCGATGGGTCAGGCTGCTGCAGAAGGCTGCAGAGCCTGGGACGTTCGATCTCGACTGCAAGATGGCAGCAGGGCACTTACAAAGGGTACTTGGAGGTTTATGGGTAGCTATAAGTGGGGTTAGGGGGTTCCTTTAAGGGTTCCTTTAAAGGGTTCTATAGTAGGGTTTAGGGTTTAGGGGTTTCATGGGTAGTTATAAATGGGGTTATACGTAGGGTAACTATAATTATAACCCATATTAGGGGACATATTACTCCACGTATAACTACCCATGAACCTCCAAGTACCGACGGAGGGTCTAGCGTTTATGGTTTAGGGAGGTTGTCATTGCCATTAGTCCGAGTACTATGGATGCTGGTCTATGGCGTAGCTTCGTTCAACACATTGAGCATCACATGTTGCTGCAGTCGGCCGGGTCCGAGAAAACCACCAGAAAGCCTCATGAACTTGTCTTGAAACCACGTAAGAACTCTCCAAGCCATCTCACTCACAACAACTCTGACCTGCATTTCCGGAAACGGTTGAGGAATAGAGCGACAAATCCTAAAACCCCAAACCCGACAATCCTAAGCCCCTAAACCCGACCATCCTAAGCCCTAAACCCGACCATCCTAAGCCCTAAACCCGACCACACTAAACCCGAAACCCGACCATACTAAACCCCATCCTGAGCCGTAACAACATCCACTGTAGCCCTTCCCAGAGAGGTGCCGATCACAAAGATCCGCCCGCCTCCGGATGCCACTGGAGGAGCCTGTAAGCTTTGGTTATGTATGATTTTTAAGGTAAGACACGATAAGATAAGGTCTTTAGGGTTTAGGGATAAGGGTTTAGGGTTTAAGGTAATACAGTACAGTACAATATGATAATTCGGGTCCTCTCCTGAAATGGGGCAAGCGATACTGGAAATATCACAAGTGTGCGCCATCATCGTATCTGTAATGTGCTAGTGAGGAGAAGCAGAATAGCACACAAGTGCCGTGGTCACCACCCACAGTCATTGCAGACGAATTACGAACACAAGCTGACCTTGTTCCAACAGCCCAGTGGGCAGAGCCTGAACCACCCAAAGCAGGCTCTGAAGGACATGCAGCTTCAGTCCAATCGCATGGCCTTGCCTTTGTCATGGGTTTAGGATTTTTTCGGTTTAGCTCATGGCGTCTCTGTGAGAAAGCCATTTCAAAGTTAAATCAAGGCCATCAAAATTGTGCTTATTGGAACAACTGATGTGGGGGACCTGTCCGAAAGAGCTCTGACGCAATCCCATAAAGTGAAAGAGCCTGAGCTCCAGGTTTGGACTGAGGGTTTAGGGTTTAGGGTGCTAAATAGGGTTCTAGGGCTTCGGGCTTAAGGTTTGAGTCAAGTTTGACGGTTTTTTGATGCGATCCGTCCAGCTGAGCCTCGCATGTATTCAGATCCATGAGACCTTCTTTCTTCTGATTGTTTTTTTTGCAAGGTTTGCACAATATAGTTATTTAGGGGTTTGGGGTTTAGGGGTCCAGGGTTTAGGGGTTTAGGGTTTAGGGTTTAGGGGGCCTAGGGTTGCATGTCCGTATACTCTGCTAGGACTGCAGCCCGCGGCAAAGCACAGGTCCCGCGGCGGTGCGGCAGGGGCAGCTTGCTGGCAAGATCTCGTCGTCTTTTTTAGGAGCTTTGGGTTTCCTAGGCCCTGTAAACCCCAAGTCAGAACTCCAAGGCACCTAAACCCTAAGCCCATGTAAACCCTTACACTTTCACGTTTAAGGTCCGGGCTATTGAAATGCTGCTACTGCAGGAGTTTAAAGTTGGGCTTCCCGAGGCCCCAAGCCTTGAAGCCAAGTGTCTGCACACGATCTTCCGTAGCATTTCCGTGCTAAAAGGGACCTTTTGACGTTTAGGGTACAGGGTTTAGGGTTTAGGGTTAGGGGTTAGTTTAGGGCAGGTCAAGTCCAAGGTCCCTAAACCCTAAACCCTAAACCCTAAACCGCCTAAGGCTACAACAGGCTTCTTCGACTGGTGGGGTGGCAGAGCAGAAGGAGCGCTCTGAATTGCAGGGCCTGATCTCGGCCGGGGGCATTCAATGTGGGAGTTTCCGAAAACAGGGGTACCTTATTTGGAGGTGCTAATGATAAGGGTCCTACTGTTTAAGTACTATATTAGGGTCCCCTATTTTCGGAAACCCCCATATGGTAGAGTGGCCTTGA